TTCATCAGAAATGCTCAAAACCGAAATATTTGACAGCCAGGAAGGTATAAGAAACGTAACATTTTAAGAGCTATATTACCAAAAAAATGATAGCCAAATCCATCTAAGGTCTTAGCCTGAGGGAAACAGTATATCTAAAGAAATGATCATAACAAATATAAAACACACATTCATAACATAATAGAACATGAAGATAAACCTTAGAAGATGTGATTTAATTGCCAAACAGATAACAATTCACAGACGGTAACAGTACGACCTAAATGAAACTTTTCATTGTTCAATGAAGTTAATCGTTTTACCTATAAAGTAGCCATTATCACTGGTAAACCAATTTGATTTTAAACGTCTTTTTTTATGTTAACCAACCAAATAACCACTTTGTATGTTTTGTAAGTTTTGCGCTTGCTGTATTTTTAATCCTGTCAAACACATTTTGCTTTTGTTTGTTATTGTTTGCATTAGGACAACAAAAAAACTGATGGACCTAACTGAGAAAAATTGCATATAAATGATACTCCATTAAAATACACTTAACAGCTGAAAAAAGACTCTTGTTAGTAACCAAAGAAATCGAAAAGATATTTGAGCATCGAGGATGGTAACAAAAGTATTTGATTTATAACAAATTTGTTTCAACAAGTATGCATTGCTGTGATTATTACTATCAAGCATTCATATTGAAATAAAGTTTTAATAATTCAAATACTTCTAGGTCGGAGACTTCAAGTTTGGTGTCCTGTTATTTCTCTAGTGTTCACTTCAATTTCACCAGACTATTCAAGTGTTAATGAATTTCAATCTAGAAATTTAAATATAATTTGTTAAATTTCTGAAACAGAGGACTTAATGATGTTCGAAAATATTTTCTAACTAATTAAGCGAATTATTTATGATCGTTTTAGATGTTGTTAAACTTAACATTTAGAATTGACTATTGGAATAACTCTAACCGCTTCTATTACAAAACATTATAAAAACCGTGAAAGAGCTGTCAGAGAATTGCACATTTTGATTTAAATATGATACGAAAAATTAACACAGTTCTACAATTATCTATAATAACGTACTATGTGGTCAAGCTTTATGGAAGGTTTGAACATCCACTATTCTTCCTTTACAAGATTATGTATAAATGCCCATTCATCGGCCTTTTCTCCAAAGCTTATGTATAAATGCCCATTCATCCACCTTTTCTCCAAAGCTTATGCATAAATGCCCATTCATCGACCTTTTCTCCAAAGCTTATGTATAAATGCCCATTCATCCATCTTTTCTCTAAAGCTTATGTATAAATGCCCATTCATCCGCCTTTTCTCCAAAGCTTATGTATAAATGCCCATTCATCCGCATTTCTCCAAAGCTTATGTATAAATGCCCATTCATCAGCCTTTTTCTCCAAAGCTTATGTATAATCGCCCATTCATCCGCCTTTTTCTCCAAAGCTTATGTATAAATGCCCATTTATCTTCCTTTTTCTCCAAAGCTTATGTATAAATGCCCATTCATCCGCCTTTTTAGCTCACCGGGGCCCGAAGGGCCCCATGTGAGCTTATGCCATCACTTGGCGTCGGTCGTCGTCCGTCGTCTGTCGTCGTCGTCTGTCGTCTGTCGTCGTCGTCGTCTGTCGTCGTCTGTCGTCGTAAACTATTTCAAAAATCTTCTCCTCTCAAACCACTGGGCCAAATAAATTCAGACGTAAACTAAATGTTCCTTAGGGTATATAGTTTATAAATTGTATCCGAAGTTTTGATCCATCGACAAACATGGCCGCCATGGCTAAAAATAGAACATAGGGGTCAAATGCAGTTTTTGGCTTATATCTCCAAAAGTAAAGCTTTTAGAGCAATTCTGACACAGATAAAATTGTTCAATTGGTCAAGATCTATCAGCCCTGAAATTTTCAGACAAATCGTACAACCCATTGTTGGGTTGCTGCCACTAAATTGGTAGTTTTGAGGACATTTTGCAGTTTTTTGTTATTATCTTGAATATTATTATAGATAGATATAAACTGTAAACAGCAATAATGTTCAGCAAAGTAAGATCTACAGAAAAGTTAAATGACCAAATTTGTCAATTGACCCCTTAAAGAGTTATTGCCCTTTAAAGACAATTTTACCCAATGTGTTCATCAAGTTTGCTAACATTTAAAAATCTTTTCTTCTGAAACTATTGTGCCTAATACTTCCTAACTTTGAATGAATGTTCCTATAGGAATCTAGTTTATGAATTGTATCTGAAATTTTGATCAATCAACAAACATGGCCGCCATGGCTAAAAATAGAACATAGGGGTGAAATGCAGTTTTTGTCTTATATCTCAGAAACTAAAGCATTTAGAGCAAATCTGACATGGGGTAAAAATGTTCAAAAGGTCAAGATCTATCAGCCCTGAAATTTTTCAGACACACCGAACAACCCATTGTTTGGTTGTTGCCACTAAATTGGTTGTTTTAAGGAAATTTTGCAGTTTATGGTTATTATTTTGAATATTATTGAAGATAAGGATAAACTGTAAACAGCAAAAATGTTCAGCAAAGTAAGATCTACAAAAACGTTTTATATGACCAAAATTGTCAATTGACCCCTTAAGGAGTTATTGCCCTTTAAGGACAATTTTACACAAGTTGTTTTATGTTTTTTAACTTTAAAAATCTTCTCAAATGAATCTAGTATAAATTTTGTATTTCATTTCCTTGTACGTCAAGAAACTTAGACACTATGGCTAAAATGGAACATATGGGTAAAAAGCAAAAATAATCATTGATGAAAGATTTAAGCAAAAAAAATAACAGGTGAGCGATTCAGGCTCTTGAGAGCCTCTTGTTCTCCAAAGCTTATGTATAAATGCTCATTCATCCGCCCTTTTCTCCAAAGCTTATGTATAAATGCCCATTCATCCACCTTTTCTCTAAAGCTTATGTATAAATACCCATTCATCCGCCTTTTCTCCAAAGCTTATGTATAAATGCCCATTCATCCGCATTTCTCCAAAGCTTATGTATAAATTCCCATTCATCAGCCTTTTTCTCCAAAGCTTATGTATAAATGCCCATGCATCCGCCTTTTTCTCCAAAGCTTATGTATAAATGCCCATTCATCTTCATTTTTCTCAAAAGCTTATGTATAAATGCCCATTTATCCGCCTTTTTCTCCAAAGCTTATGTATAAATGCCCATCCGCCTTTTTCCCCAAAGCTTATGTATAAATGCACAATCATCCGCCTTTTCCAAAGCTTATGTATACATGCCCATTCATCTGACTTTTCTCCAAAGCTAATGTATAAATGCCCATTCATCCACCTTTTCTCCAAAACTTATGAATAAATGCCCATTCATCCGCCTTTTCTCCAAAGCTTATGTATAAATGCCCATTCATTTTCCTTTTTCTCCAAAGCTTATGTATAAATGCCCATTCATCCGCCTCTTTCTCCAAAGCTTATGTATGAATGCCCATTCATGCGCCTTTTCACCAAAGCTTATGTATAAATGCCCATTCATCCGCCTTTTTCTCCAAAGCTTACGTATAAATGCCCATCCGCCTTTTTCTCCAAAGCTAATGTATAAATGCACAATCATCCGCCTTTTCCAAAGCTTATGTATAAATGCCCATTCATCTGCCTTTTCTCCAAAGCTAATGTATAAATGCCCATTCATCCGCCTTTTCTCCAAAACTTATGAATAAATGCCCATTCATCCGCCTTTTCTCCAAAGCTTATGCATAAATGCCCATTCATCCGCCTTTTCTCCAAAGCTTATGTATAAATGCCCATTGATCCGCCTTTTCTCCAAAGCTAGCATTTTAGCTGTCGCAATCAGTGGACAGACATCGGACTTAATTTAAAAGGTAGAATATATAAACGGGACTCCAAACGAAAGCCATAGAAGCTGGACAATACCAAAGATAGTCAATAAACATAAAAGGGATAAAACTAAAAGTTTAGGCAAAAAAATTCCTATCATTAATGTTGATTAAACTCAGGTGCTCTGGAAGGATAGGTTATGCTCACTTATAAATTAATTTTCACATCATCTGAACAGCTCTGAACATAATAAGGTTAAGTCTTGTTAAGGGTTTAAGTTTTTGTTCATATACTTTCTAGTTGTAAATCCATTACTGCTCAGACATTTGGCTTATCGCAATCTGGTACTTATCAGTAGCTTTTCAGACAATATAGTATGTAGTTGTTTTGTTTATAGAAATAACTAAAATATCTTAATTGAATACAGGCAAACAGTACTGTATATACCCCTTTGAATTAGTCTAAAAGTTAAGTGAAAGACTGCTCCTGACCTCAATAATTATTGGTTTAGACTTTGTACAGCTGTTCAGATCAAAATGTCCGTTTGTTTTAGTTCAAAAATGGTTTTCTAGTGGATACCCGTCTATGTGTTAATGGCGATTTAATTTTCAATGTTGCAAGAAATAGAGAATAAAATATATTTTAGTTAACGTTGATCTTTCAACAAGAAGAAATATACGATCTATATAAATTAAATCTTAAATTAACTGGAAAAGACTAATAATGTCTGTGTACCAAGAGTATAATATTTTATCTCTATATGCAGTCACACTATGCAGTGTACGTACACTTTTATGTTATTACACATTTCTGATTTCCTTGACTCTTCCGAATGCTTTAAAGAGAGATCACATTCATTAGACATCACACTGGTATGTATCTAATAAAACGCTCCTATATGTTACATGATACAATTTGAGATTATCCTTTTCCCAAGTATTTTGATACACTTTTATTAGGTAAGCCTACTTCGCAAACCAGTCATTTTTTACGTCTTTTCAGAAACCTTTATGAATAGCACTTACAAGTCATTTATTATATGACATTTCATTTGTTTTCTTTTACGTAATTTGCTTATCCATGGTAGGTGATTGCTTAACACGAAATAATATCGGCTTTGGAACATAGATTCTTTTTTTTTAAATTTATTTGCCAACTAATGTGTGATTAAAATCGTTTCTGATTTTCCATTTTAGTGCTGATAAACGAATATCAGAGTACAGGGATGCATTAAGTATCGTACAACATACTGGAGATATAACATGGCTACCACAGGCTGTATTTAGAAGTCAGTGTAACATAGATGTTGGGACGTTTCCGTTTGATAAACAAACCTGTACGCTTAAGTTTGGATCATGGACTTACAATGGTAATCAGCTCGATTTACAGTTTAAAGGTGGACAAGCAAATTTTACCTTGGCAGACTATACAGAAAGTAATGTGTGGGAAATAATCGAAGCTCCGGCAGTACGCCATGAGATGACTTATGTCTGCTGCGATTATCCGTTCATAGATCTAACCTTTACACTAGTGATACGAAGGAGAGCAACGTTTTATGCAAATATATTGATATTACCCTGTGTGTTATTGACCTCCTTAACGTTAGTTTTGTTTTGGATCCCACCAGAATCTCCGGCAAAAATGATGCTTGGTTTGTATGATAATTGTGGCAAATAATGTTATTTTACTTGATTTTTCATGGACGTCTCCTTTAAACAAAGGCACATTTGTTGTTTATACATTCCATGAAAATGCATAGATATAGTAACGGTGGTCTGTTAACTGTCGTTTGTTAGACACCATCTTTTACAGAAACGTTAAAGAGAGGCAAAATCTACCAAAAGGACATTCAAACATTAAAAAAAAAAAATGAAAAAACGATCAAAAGACAATAAATGGGAATTCGTGCATATTTTCCCATTTTTAAAAGACATTTCGGTATCAACACATGTCATTTCATATCCATCTCAATGATATTGAAAGACAGAATTAGAAACAAACAAAACAACACGCCAAACTATGTAGGCTATGTAACAAAAGCGGAAACTAAATTTCAGTGCGTTTAGAACAATATAACAAAATACTTAGGTCCTTACAATCTCTAAGATACATATAGACTTGATGGTGTAAGGAGTAAGATCGTTTGAGCCCTTACATGGCCCCTTTTTCCAGCTTAAATATCAAATTAGTATTTATTAACTAATTATCGCAATGAATCATTGCTAAAATAATGGCTAGATAGGAAAACTTATCATCTTCAAACAATGGACCTTATATTTGGGGCCACATATAGCGCTTACCGAACTTACTTGCATGTTTTTGTAAACGTTTGGATCGAAGAACTTCGTGACCTCCACCGGCATAATATTAATCTGAAAGACAACTGCTTTTGGTTAGGAATGCCCTTTTTATTTATTTTTATTACAAAGTACTTAAAGTTTATCAAAACCAATCAAAATGCCAGTTTTTAGTCATCGAGTCTTTTTAAGGAAATTAAATCTAGAAAGCCATTTAAACTTGCATATTGCCCTATTATTTATTTTGAATTAGCAAATCCATCCTTGTTTTTCTGTTTTGTGACTCTTTGTGTTTTCTTCATGCATGTTGTTTTGTCCGTTGAATTTCGACTGCTAATTAAGATGTCAATGCAGTTGACTTGGTATATTTTATCATGGGTACCATTAAAACAAGTTAGCCCACTAAAATGTTCAATTAAAAAAAAAGTCGGTTGCATAAAAAAAAAGTAAAATCACAAAAATACTGAACTCCGAGGAAAATTCTAAAAGGAAAGTCCCTAATCAAATGGCAAAATCAAAGGCTCAAACACACCATACGAATGGATAACAACTGTCATATTCCTGACTTGGTACAGGCATTTTCTTGCATAAGATATTACATTAAACCAAACAATATAAAATATGAAGAAAACAAGATGTCGGAAATATGTTAATTAAACAGCAACCCAAAGAAAATAAACAACAAACCTTTCAGCATCTAGAGGTCAATCAACGGTTTTTAACTTGAGTCTAAAATATGTAAATCTCTATATCACCCCGAGTCATATAATTTTTTTACAGGACAATATTTAAGATCTGTGATGAAACAAAATTCCGTAAGAGACATATGATTTTTAGACATAACTTAAAACAAACATTTGATTGGTTCTGGGCTTTTGACAGAAACGTGAACATGTGTCAGGGAAAAAATGTTTGTTTTGTAAGGCATTATAATCTCGATCATTCGAACAGCAGACGATAAAGAAAGGAACCTACAGTTAACTCACTCTATGAAGCCGTTATAAAAGACAACGGAAGCACAACTACATGCAATGCAACAACATCCAACTAAAAACCACTCACAGTCACTTAAAGAGATATAGCATAAAGCCTGCTTAAACGAAACAATGCTGCCCTCTGCCATTAAATCAACTGGTGTATTTCGGAATCTTAGAAGCTATGTACATTTCGTGTGTCCATTGTGCTTTCTCTTTTACTAACTTTCATCATTTCACTAACTTTCATCAGGAACGCCCATGCCCAAACAGTTGAAACCAAGGATGAACAAATAGGAGAAACGTTAGGAGCTATATGGCCATTAGGGACCTAAACAGAATATTGTTGATTCATCATTACTCGTGGGATACCAATTTTAATGGGTTTCGTGGGTACTGGTGAACCACGAATTTAAATGTTCAACGAATTACAAATCTTATATAGGCTTGTATGAAGAAATTGACAAAACCACGAAATCAAATATCCACGAAAAAGGAAGTTTTCCTCAATCCACGATCATTGGTACCCACGGAAATGAATGAATCCACAATAGTCCAGTTCATCAACGACCAGCTTTGCATGAGGCAGTTGGAAAGATATTTTCTTAAACATTTCTTAATCTATCATCGGGGATATTTAGCAAGATATGTAAACAATACGAGAAGACAAATTATTGTGCATTGTCCATAATTAACCTGTACAGAGATAAAACGAAAGAAAAGAAATCGAATTATTTAGTTCTGTCTTCCCTCTAAAGTATTTTGGCGCATTTTTCGAAAGATTGAAGAACAACAGCATTATTATAATTTTTATTAAAAAGTCGATAACGTCATAAAAAGGAATTACCGAACAATTCCCTAAAGCTGTTTACTTTGAAAAAGTTTATCGTTTTAATCAGGATTTTTATTATTTTAATGTATGCATGTAGAATAATACTTCCTCGGTGAATCTCTATGTTAATGATAAACAAAGGAAAAGGTTTGAACATCAGTAAACTATCTTGCTTTCAAGGTATGATATAGTGTATCCTTGTTGTAAAAATATTGGCCATTACGTCCAATGAAATCTGAGACGCCACTTGAATTACACGTCAATTTCTTCACACTTAAACAATAGAGCATCAGTATAAATACATATTTATTTATATTTCAAACAGTTTATTACTAATTTGATACTAGATTGGAATTTTTAATTGTACAATCGTGTTGTCTCACTGAGCATACAAAAGATGGAACATATGATTTCCTAATCTTTTAATCACCAATTTTTCTAATATTGGATTTAAAATAGGGTACAAAAAATAAGTAAATAATGTGTTTAAGAATTAAAATGGAGAATAAAGGTGTCATAGTAATAAAGAGGTCCAAGGAAAGCTTTACTATTTAGAAAGGTTAATAGAAAATTATTCAAATAAGCCAATTAACAATGTAAAGGGGTATACAATACCATAACAGAAATATAAATATACTGCTTCACCTAGGTAATTATTCGGAATTTACAAAAAAGTTCCCGAAATTTTATTTTTGAGGACAAAGCAGAAGTTTTATGCAAAATATATCATTTTACCCTAATGTTGGTACTCAATTAATCTATTTGTTCGGGTTTGACTATACTTCCGGGCCTTACAATTCATATCAGCTCTTCCATTGTCTGTAATACGTAATGTACTTTCAAATATTTTCGTCTCTAGCATCATTGAACATATTAATTGTCGAAATGTACATCTGGTGCAGTACATTTGGTTCTGTTAATATTATTATTACCCTCCTTATGCCTCATATTTTGTTTGCTGTTAATATCTATGAATATCGACGTTTGATAATATTTGTATCGATGCAATGCAAACATGCTTTCGTATCAAGATTCTTTCTTTATATATGACTATTAGATTTTCAAAATATATCGTTTGTTTTTCCCATTCATTGCTAAATGGTACAAAGAGTTTGAGATAGTAATAATGTAAGTTTGATAAACTGACAGTCCAACGGTAATATTATATTGGTATTGACAGTTTTACAGACTGTGTTATTTACTTTGGAAATGAAAGAAATTAGCAAACAGGGGATTTATTCATATTGTTACGTTATTTAGTAAATCAAGCAGTATTAACGATTTTTCTGTCAATTATTCTGAAGATATTACAGTGAACTAACATAACTTTAAAGATGATGAAAAGGTTAACTTTGTGTTAAATCTCGGACAGTAGTAATCGATGGTTGTGTAATTGAGCCTACACTCCACGTATTAAGGATGCAAAGAAATAGTGGAAAAATACAGAAATGATAATTTTTAAAAACGATATTCAGTTATGATTTTCAAAGACAATTTCTAGATAACAAGATTACTTCAGCCGACATTTTAAGGAGTTCAGTAAAATTACTTTGAGCGTGTATATATTGATTTATATACCCTTTTTTCGTGTTATGTTTAATTTCATTCACTTAAAATCTTGTTTAATTATACTGCATGATTTGTTTCATTTCGATATTTTTGTTATATTTTCATTGCATTGTATAGTTCATGTCTCAGATTTTCACAGCGTTTTTTGTAAGTTTTTATCATACCTGATATTTTCGCAATGGTTCGGATCTATAAAGCTTTTAGTTATTCCGAAGTTTGATGTTGACATGAGCATTTCCCTGTCTTCTATTAATTAATTTGTTTATCAATTCATTCATCTATTGAAATGTTTTGGTTTCGATCCTATTTTATATTTTAATTTTTCCATACCTTTGTTAAGTTCATACTGGTAATTTCGATTCTTTTTATATTACTGTATGTATGTTCTTCCTTGCCTTATCCTTTAGTTTTCTTTCTATTATTTCTAGATATAGATACTGATTATATGGCTGATTTGCGTTTGTTTAATTTTACTTTGTCATATCTTATCTTTACTTTCTCGTTGTTGTTTGGTGCGATAATCATTTCGTGTTATGTCTATTTGTAGGGGTCATTGTTTCATTTCTTGAAACGGTTTCGTTTGTTTAATAACCGTCACAATTATTCTTATGGTTTTGATATGTTTCATTTTGGATGCTTTGTGCATGGTATTTTCCCTCATTTCTTGGTTCTATGTCTAGATCCTACTGCATATATTGTCACAACGTTTCGTTTTTATCTCTCAATTCCGGAGTCGTTATATATTAGTTATGAAGTTACAGGTTGGCTACAACAATACATCATTAATGAAAAATCATGTATTAAAAGAAGTTTACAAAACAGCCCAATCAAGGTCAGCATTTTTTCAATGTGATTCGATATTTTATTTGGTCAGAGTTAAGACGTGAGAAAGGACACTAGTGTATTCTATATTGTTAAATGAATACTTAATCGGCGCATTGCAAACAATGTAATTGCAAATATACCAAGCTCCAAGGTATGTTCAAATACAGGAAGTCCATAAAAAAGTCACAAAACTAAACGTTCTCAATACACAACATACCTGTGGTTTAAATCATTACAGGCTAAATTTTGAACTACCTGCAAAAGTAAATGTTCTTTTTTATCTATTTAAATCTATCCCCTCAAAAATCAATCATAATCAAATAGATTGACCGATTGCTGTTTGTTTTGAGTTCAGTTGCAAATATTTCTTGCATACACAGGACAAGAAAATTTTGACGATGTGTTTATTCTATGAAAAGTTTAATATTGGTATCAAACTAAGATCCGGTCTTTCTTAGGTATATGAGGTTTCTATAATCACATTTTAAATTTTCACAGCATTTATGTTAAAACTGGCATATGTTTTTTTCCCCTCCAGTCTATAAATACATAAAAATATACGTTATTTGAAATGCGAATATTTCTATATTCATACATGTACTTCAATGTTGAGTGATTAGATTTATAAAAATGTACATTAAATGTTTATAAAGTAAAAAAGATAAAATAAAGAGTGTTGCATTAAGCCCAATGGAAATGTATTTTATACACCAGGACTCCGTGATATTATGTTTTGCATTCAACAGAAACCGTACTATAATTGTTTTATAAGACCGTATGACTGATTAAACTGTCATTACCATTTAAAAGGGAATACACAGCATCTACAGGTTTAATTCTAATTAATTATCCTTTAATAGTTAAATCTCTCCATAAAGGAATATAAGATTATTTTTTAATAACAATTCATCAAGATAAAAGTATTATATTCAAACATAGATAAGGTATGATTGCCTTATGGCCGAAATCGTCAGGCAACTCCACATTGCCCTTAATGACAACCTTTACTAATTTTAGGCGTGTTTTTAGTGACTTTTATCATGAAAATAACAACATATAGAGAGAAATTTTAAATTGATAATCAGATCTACGAAAAAAAAAATTTCGTATAAGTATAGATCGCAAAAATGGCCAATCGACTCCTTATAAACATATTTCTAAAAGCTCAAAATCGAATAATTTTTCTTTTGTTTTAGGTATGACCCTTTTTATGGCGTTCTTCATATTACTTATTCTGTATAGCGGGAACATGACGCCGACGGAAGGGTCGATTCCGGTATTAGGTAAGCCTGTACGTAGATGCTTTCTCTTAACCATGCTTTTCTATCTTTCCAACAGGGATGAGTATTTTCATGGCGTTCTTCGTTCTTATGTTGTTGTTTGAGGCTAATTTACCACCGGCCGCAGTGCGTGTACCTATCTTAGGTAAGGAAATGTTGTAGTGCTGGTGTTCTAGACAATAGGGTTTTAAAGACTGGTGACCTGAGCACATTTTAACACTTGGCAAAAATTAATAAGCAAAATATACTTTTCTCAAGCTTTTCTTCCAAAGTGCATGATCATAGAAATTATCTGCCTCTCACAAAAACCAGTCAGTTTTGGAACAATTTGTCACGTTTGTTATGCCTGTTATTTAAATCACCTGTCGTTGAGTAGATATAAACTTTTTTTATCACATTACATCCACGATGATTCACTTTTTTATAACGTTTTAGATTTCAAGTAGCGTAGAAATTTTATTACATTGATATAGCATTTGCTTTTCATTTTTGTCTTGTTGTTCACTTAGAATTCATCTTTTTAAAGTTACTCTGGTAGAATACTTCTTTTCTGTGATAATCATTGCTTGCCGAGGTCTATAGATAAAACTTCTTTTCAATCAAAATTATCCTTAGATATTTTCACGATTTAGGTTTTGATAGTTTCATGAAATTCTAATGTTAATAATGTTTTATAGATGTTTGCGGTGTAATTTTTAACTATTAAGCAGATGAATGGACTATTCTTATATTGTTTGGAGCGCCAGGTTATTGATGTTAAAAAAGTATGCAAATCGAGCTTTAATTGCAATATTAAGGGAATAAGAACGTTTTCCATTTTAACTGCAGCATTTTGCGTGTAAGATTTTAATATGTTACTGTAGTTTTAACAGATCAGCTGAGCAAACTTAGTCACTGCTTATTCCTGGTGAAACGATGTTCAAAATATGCAATATCAGATTAACAATACTACGTCAACCTTTTTATATACCAATTTAAATATTAAACATAATTTATGATATTCAGTAAAAAGCAAAACAATAAAATGCCGAACTTCAAGGAAAATGCAAGACGGAAAGTCCCTTAACCCTTAATGTAGTGTTCAAAAATTGCAGCTTGCCGTGTATAGCTTTAGTATACGAATCTTTGATTGGAAATGTTTAATCCTAAGATCATCTGAAATGCCCCATCCTCTGGGTAGGTGTTACCTACTGCCTTACCTCGGAATCCATGGTCCTTTGACTGAAAATAAACATGCCTCCATGACACCGAATAGCACATAGGGGTAGAATGAAAATAATCATCATATATATTGAAAAACTATTATTAAAGAAAGAAATTTTGACGGAAATGAAAAAAATAGACTCTCAAGATTATTAATATAACTGTAACTCAGTTTAATTTGAGTAAAGTGTCAGACGACTCCTTGTTTTTTTTTTGCTCTTAATCTAATATTTCAAAAACAGTAATAGGTAGAGTGAAATTTTAGAAAGCAAAAACGATTAGTATAAAAATCTAAAAATAAATAAATATAATCGAATTTGTCGTTCGACACGATTTAAAAATATTCACATATAATGCCGATTTGTTACCTTCTACTGGTTTGATTCGAGCGTCACTGGCGAGTCTTATGTAGACGAAACGGCTGTCTGACATACAAATAGCCTTATCTGAGTTTTACGTATTAGTGCGAACTTAATTTACATATTAGATAGTGTTAGCATAAAAATGATTAGCTCATTAGATCTTTAAGTAAGTTTACATGGCTGAATTCGTCAGAAAACTCTTTATATGAGTCATTGATCTAAAAGATAACTTTAGGCGTGTTTGACTAAAATCCTGAAAATGATAATAGATAAAGAGAAACTTAAATCATTAACATGGTTAGATGACTTCTTATTGGAAATTTGACCTTAAAATTTGATAGTTGACCAATTTTAGTGCAGATATGATCAGCAACACAAGATCTAAATCCAAGTTAAATGATTACAGTAATTAATGGACTCTCGTACAGGAGATGTTCTCCCTTTCTTCTAATGCTAACAAATGTTCTGATTTGGCCTGTATCTTGAAAATTATAATGGATAAAGAAAAACTTCTTCGAGCAAAATTTATCAGAAGATCATATTTTTTCCTAAACAATTTCTATTCATTACATACTTCTTGTTTCATTATATCACATGTATGCTTAAATGACAGGTGAGCGATGCAGGCTCAATGGAGCCTCTTCATTCAATATTTTTATCTTAAGGTAAATCCAATACTGTTCAGACATTTTTCAGATTTTACTTGGGTTTTGTTTTTGTTTGAAGGTAAATTTAAGTCGACCGTACAGATCCTTTTTGACCGCAAAACATATATTGACAGTACTTGCTATGTTTCTTTTCCAATAACCGTTTCAGTTCATAATTTGCTTTTTCTGTAAGGACACAACATTCAACAAGAACTCATGTTTTTTAAGCTTTACCTACCACCATCAACATTTTGCACTAACTATCCTACACTTATCATTACATTAGATGGAAAAATTCAATTTCATTAAATAAAGAAGTGTTTTATTCCACTTAGTTATCGTTCAAACATCTTTCACTGCCTCTCTATCTATTTGGATTTATTACCCAAATATCTTTCATGTAATATTTTTTTCTTAATCTGCCAGTATTCTGCATTAGTAATCACCTCATTCGGGGTCTTTATTGTAGTGTGAACAATGGTGCACATATTATTTCTGTTGCAGTATTTGCACTTTCATTACCTTTTGTTAGTGTGTGATTGTGCATTTCTATATATATTTTAATTTAAATGTGTGTGTTTTATTCTTATCTATGTAAAACAAATGCATTATATGTATAACCTTTGTGATTTATATGATGAATTCCATGATTAGATGCGTTTTTGTAAAATCAGATATATCTAAAGAAATAATTTCTCATATGTTGAATGCATGTACTATTTGAAAAATCTCAATACCATTTTAATTTTTAACTTTCTTACAGCTTCAATTTTAAAAATGTTTGCACTTATTTTCATATTAAAACGTGTTATTTAAAATCAACATTGATAACTAGTTTCATCTTGTTATTTTGCATTGTTAATTATTACGTCTACATGGTTTCCATACATTTTGACCCGTTACGTGTTTGTAAAAGAATTTCAAATTCAATTTAAAAAATATTTCACCGCATTCAATAGAACCATGCTGAAACATTGTTCTAGTTTCCTGTTTTTAATTGTATGAAAATTACATTTTTAATTTCGCGTTTTCAATTTAAAAACAAAATGCACTGAAATAAAGAAATTTTTACATAAAGAGATTGAAAGGAAACATAATAATGGAAAATCAAAAATGAAACATGCGTCCGCAGCAACTTATAATTAACCTGGTATCTTAAATAACTTTTGCAGCCTCGGTGGTCGAGTGGTCTAAGTAGTCGAGCTATGAGATTGTGAGTTCGAATTCCGCAGGTGCGCTCGACTTAAATCTTAGTTGACTAGGATTGTCGATTTTCCTATCGAAATTCGGTTGTTCTCTACGCGCACTCCGGCTCCCTTCACCAATAAAAACTAATCGTATATTAGCTGATCCTTAAATGTTCGTTTTAGAATTTTTTGTTTCCAAGCTCCTACTTGTGATTTGTATGGAATTACAATTGTTTGATTCGAGCGTCTAAGATTAGTCCTTTAAAGACAAAACACCCGTCTGGCATATTAGCTTATAAGGCCGGGTAAATTTGATAAATTTCTGATCTAAACACGATCTAAAAGGCTGAATCTGGCGCGAAGTATTTAATTAACAAACAAATAAATAAATGAGTCTATTGTAAACTACTGTTGCATTATTGTGTTTAAGAAAACAAAACTAGAAATTAACTTTATCTGAGGCTTAATAATTTCATATATTAATTAAATTTAGTATGGGAAGCGGAAATACGTTTGAACTCTGAAATAACGTTGGTTTGCATAACAGTCTTTATGTTTTTAAGAAATATATGTAAAAACTAATAAAATTTGACTGCTTGTTTAAGATAACGTTTTGAATTGGATAAGAATGTTCGGAACATATCATTATTTTTCATTGAGAACGTATACTTATGGTGTTTTAGCAGAATTGTCACGTTAAATTGTTCTAAATTATAATCTATCATAAAGTTGAAATCTATTGACCACCCAACTCTTTTAAAGCTACATGAAATTTTGTTGTGGATCTGTTGTATAAGGTTTACGATTTTTTTTAAACATAAGCCAAAATTTAATCTTAATAAATGACTAATTACTTTTTACTCTAATTAATCAATAACATTGTTTTATTTGGTATCAACGAACGGTTTATTGATTTGTTTTAACAGAATATTAAAGAATAACAAAACCATATTATTCTAATTATATACAAAATATGTCATAACAGTACATGAGGTGCAAGTCCATGCCTTCGCTTTGCATGTTTTGTTTTCTTTCTTAACTGCATTTATTTTTCATTTTTACAGAATCTAGATTTGCTTAATCTACATTATCTAGACGTTTCAATCTATAGCTAGAACAATTCATTTGAGCTTCAGTTTAAAGCCTTGCCCATCATTGAGGCTGTGTAGATTAGTAATATACATAAAGTTTTAATGACGGTTTTAAAAACGGTGTATTTTTAAGTTTAATTGCTAAGTATCGGTGATTTTTTATATTATAATTCAGGCTTAAAAAAGGAAAAATAACAAAAAATACCGAAAATTTCAAAACGGAAAGTCCCTTATCACATGGCAAAAAAAACATCAAACGAAAATGGTGGTTTAACCTGGTTTTATAGCTAGCTAAACTTCTCACTTGTATGACAGTCGCATAGAATGCGATTATATTGTCATCAATGTACAGATTTGTTGATGAAAAGAATACTCTTTCTTATTTAACCTCTAGTTTTGTTGAATCTGCGGAATATTTCTCTTCAATTATTGTCTTTGTATAAAGTCGATAATTTTGTTTGTCTATTTCAAATAAATATTTTCTAATTACCACCTTCAAAGGTTTTTTTTTATATATATAATTCATTCCATGAGAAATGTTTAAAACCATATTATTCTTTTCTGCGTGTTAACTTCCCGATGCCATTTTGAGTATATGCTCTTGTTTAATAATTTCGGTGTTCCTTTAAAGGTTGAATATATAAATCGCTATCAAATTTACAAAGTCTCCTACTTCTTAAAACCTTCGACAGAGATCTGTTTTTTTATTAGTAATTCTCCTTTCAATAGCTTGAACATTTTAGTACGACGCTTTTGACAATATCCAATCAATTGTCAAGTAACATGTTTCCTATTAAAAATTACCTATTTTACTACAATGAAGTCGTTTCGCGTAAAGAAGCAATGGGAATGTAACTTTGTGAAACTCTGTTATCAAATTGTTATCGTAATGTTATAGCAATCATTGGATAATATGCTCTTTATTCAATGTAATTTATAATATTTAATATATATTTGTTTTGTACACGTCATATTTTTCAGATACATTCACAGATTGAAGTTTTTGGGGAAACCAATTGTCAAAATCCACATACTGTGGATTCATTATTTTTCTTTGGGCACCAGTTTTTGCAGATATCGTTGGTACAGATAAACCACATTTTTAGTGTTCAACGAAGTGCAAATTTCCTATAGGTTTGTTTCCAAACTTTGGCAAAAACACAAAATGAAGTATTTGCAATAATTGGTAGCCACGATAATTAATGAGTCCACAGTAATCTCCTTGGGTTTGATTGACCTCTTTAAGCTTGTTTAATTGCTTTAATTCGCTGACAAGATGTATAAAATATTTCGATTTTTTAAACGTCAATTTGAAATTTAATACACAATTTTAGTAAAACATTTTGTGATGTTTCAACTTAACTACAGAAATGTATATAAACAAAAAGAAACTGTTGGACAAGAAAGATTAGATTTGTTGTTTATTTACATACTATATTGTAGGTACATACTACTGCTTGAACATGGTGTTGATTACACTTTCATCTTTCCTTAATGTTTTTGTTGTTAATATGACTTTCTTTGGAGCCCGCGCACCTGTCCCTTATGCACTGAAAAGGGTAAGTTTCAAATATAAATAAATAAAAGCACACTTCAGCATCACATCATTGCACCTCTGTGTCACCATCAGGGTTCGGAGTACTATCGCGGTTAAGAATCTTAAATACATGTATAAATATATATAACTAGCTATTAGTCGTATTCATTTTGTATCTTGTGACTACATAACTTCGAGGTATTATGGTCTAGTGTAAAATTTAAACTTATCAGATTAAAAGAAATATACATTAAGTTAGTGTGATGTCTCGTAAAAAATCAATCTCGAAGCAGTGGTATATCAGCAAATGTAATTCTCAAGTCAGAACCAATTACGCACATATTTTTACACCAGTTTCAGACAAATATAATATTTAGATAAGCACAAGGGAAATTCAGCAGGATGTATATGACTCGGAAATGGATAGAGTTGCACTTCAACTTCCTTGAGCTTTGACAATGATTAATCTATCTAAACGTTACAAATGTCATTCTGTTCTGGCTTTTTTAATATTTTTTTTATTAAAATGACAGTTTTTTTAATTATCTAAAATAAAGTTATATAGAAAATACTCATTGGTAAATGTAACAATACCGATCTGCAATGCTAACTACAGATCGTAACGAGTGAGAATCAGATATTGCTTGATATTATTTTCTACAATATCAATAATAGAAATAAGGTAAACTTTGTAGGGTTTGTTTTTAAGTCTTCCGAATGAATTTTTGGAAAGTTCAAACCAAGTGTGTTTGCTACATGTAGTTTTTATTATTATCTATATTATTATGTTTATTATCTAATGGCTTTTGCGATTGCTACTTTTTCAAATTTCTTCAAAGACTCTCAGAGCTACAATTGTGGTAATAATTTAACTAGCAATCATAGATTTTTAATCATAATTACCCTAGTATGGAACAATTCTTGGATTTCGAAGGATTGGATTCTAGTAATAGAAATGAATGGAAAAAGGAGTTGAAAGAGCTACCATATTTTTATAAACATTATGACCAACACTTTGGCACAAACAATAGAATTTCAATACATACAGGATGTTATTCTAATTTTGATAAATTTCCCAGAAATCTTACAGAAAGTTTATGATTATGAAAAGCATTTTTCGGCAATTTGTACATTTTCCTTTTGATCATACTAATATACTAATATCTTTAAGATTATGACATACGCGTCAATTTATCAATGAAATGCACGCTACTTCTTTCATACAACCGAATAACTATCCGAACGTTTTAAGCGCGTAAAACCCACCATGTTTTCTTAAATGTCCTGTACCAAGTCAGAAATATGGCAGTTGTTATCAAATAGTTCGTTTCTATGTGTGTTGGCGTTTGTTTTTGTTGCACTTCGGTGTTCATGTTGCTCCTTTGTTTTCCTCTTATAGTTGATGTGTTTCCCTCAATTTTGGTTTGTAACCCGGATTTGTTTTCTCTCAATCGATTTATGAATTTTTGAACACCGGTATACTACTGTTGCCTTTATTTACTAACTATTTCATTTTACCTCATATTCTCAACAAAAAAACATACAGTTAATACAAATTGCCGATAAAAAGAATAATGGCATTTTATTTTTTTTTTATACTGACTCAATCAGCTCTTTTATCTGTTCGCCCTAGCGGGCTCGCTTGATATTCTTGCTGATAAAGTCAGTATCAAAAACAAAAATGCAATTATTCTATATATTTAGCAACCGTCTACTTTTTGAAACGTTTTGAACTAAACTTCTAATGAACATCCAACCCTTTTTAACTCTCCAGGAAATTTTGTTGGGGATCTGTTGTATAACTTCTAAACTTTTAACTTTAAAAAATCAAATTTAAGGTACGTTTTATCATCTTCATTCAATAGCCAATGATCATTCTACAACTTACTCATATGGGTTGGTTATTTTTCGTGATTTGTCAATTTGAAATTCAAACGTTTTGTTTTAATAATCACCTTCCCTGTATACAATTATCTAAAGCTGAAATTTTGAACCACAAATTACGCATCGGTTTCTCCAAAAAAAAAACTTGTGTTAAGCGCTCGAAAATCTTTTCGAAAAATTTTGTCAGTATAACGAAACTATAAACAACTGACATACAAGCAGAAGCTTTTCCTGGGTATAAAACCAGGTTTCAGCCACCAAACATGTCTGTTTGAAGTTAGGAATATGACAGTTGTTTTCAATTCGTTCAGTTGGTCGATATAGTCCAACGTTTGATTTTGTCAGGTTTTATGTAGCTCCATTTTCTTAAATTATCTTGGCGTTCGATATTTTTGTTAATACTTTTTCATACGTTTTTTAATATATTTTGAGGGTAGCGATCAAATCTAACTTTTTATTTTAAATACTTGTAGATAATGTTCACATGGGTAGCCAGGATGTTATGTATGGAAAATCTAGTGTTACCTTTTATGAACGATGGAGAAATGGCGTGTTCTTCAAAACCACATTTTATGGGAGTCAATAGTGAAAATAAATGGTCCAATGATTGGAGGGGATCCAACGAATGTTTATTAACAGTACAAAAAGACATAACAGACAACAGCTCACAACTAGCACAAATACATGCTAAAGTTGCTGAAATACGAAACTTTCTCAAATTATACAAAGAACGACTTGAAGAAAAAGATAGAAAGGAAAAAGTAACGAGAGAATGGAAAGCACTAGCTTTAGTTTTTGACAGAATATTTTTCATAATTTACTTAACGACCATCGTAGTATCATTATCAATTGTTATAGTGTTTATTTTCTCAAGCTGAAGTTTTGTTGTGATAATTCCTAAATTAGTACACTATGGCAGGATGAATATCAATTGACTGATACAATAATATGGGGCGTTATGGTTTCAGGTATCAATTCCTTAAATTATATCAATGTTTCTAAAAGTTTAAGTTGGTTTACGCGATTCTTGTAACTAAAGACATGTTTATTAGTTTTTTTTTTAGACATTTGAATCATGGTGACGGATTTGAAAAAAAAACCTATTATTTTCATTTGACAGTGTGTTTCAATGAATTTCTAAAATCGTTTTCACGTAAAAATCTGTAAAGATATTCGTCAAAAAACAAAATAAATGAAGGTAGGAATTGAATAACTACGTCTTTTATGGTTTGTCAGGGAAAAAGTTACACTCGAAATAAAGAATAAAATATGCTTTAAACAGTAGATATGAGATACAAAGGACATCTTGTTATGTTTAAATAGTGCATCCTTCCATAGTGTACATATCTTTAGGAATACGGGATCAAAACTATGAACCATTCCCAGTTTGTTATTATGCATAATGTTATTGTTAACAGAAGTGTCCTTTACCGACAGAAGTATTTATTATTCATATCACACTACAGTAAAACATTTATTATTCATATCACACTACAGTAAAACAGCCTGACAATTTGTGAAATTTGTATTGTTTCCACTTTAACTGTATATATACACATGCACAACACCATTCCACAACGCCATTAAAATTGCACTGGAAAATTTTAATTTTTCACATTGTAAATATTTCAGGTTTTCAAGGCTGTATTTTATTAGATGTTTTACGATGCACGAAAAGTTGAGAGTAAATTAATTATGAGGTAATCCGAAATCCTGGAATAGTGTTATATTATTTTGTCATAATGTAGATGGAAGATCAATTATTACATTTTAAAAGGTTCAATTATATAAAGAAATTGATCTATTTATAATGAGAAACGCACTAAATAAATGTTTGTATCCCACTTTTTTGTGGTCACGGGATTGAATTATTGGAAGAGTTTTCCTATTTATTTCTTGATATTATATAATATGCTATAACGGTGCAACTCTTTTCTTTAACTTCTAACTAGTGGAAATTTAAACACTATACACACCTTTAAAACTCAAAACAAAAGAATGTTTTTATAGTCACTGATGTATGCCTCAGTTTCATGATTTCTAGATCGTGAATATTATTGTATTTGTATTGTATTATTTTAAAAATGTCTGTTGTAGTTTCAGTTTTGTTTTCACTACAGGATGGCAGGTTCCGGGATAATCAAAAATATAATATTACTATCATGCACAGAATTATCCACTATTAACAAAAAAAGGGGCTTCATTATAAAAGTTTTAAATTACATTTCGTACTTCAAAACAAGATGATAAAAGTGATTAGAAAATATAGAAAAAGTGATTAGAAAGTATAGTAAAAGTGATTAGAGAATATAAATGCATAACATGATTGCATGCTACCTGTTGTTCATTTACATTATTTTAACGAAGGAACAATGTTTGATGTCTAATAATTGTTAGTTAAATTAAATTCTGTACCCAATTAGCCCATAAAATAGAAATTAAGTCTTAGTTTTATATAAGATGCTGCCTACGTCTTCCACATAGGTTACTACCTTTTCAATAATTTATTGACTTTGCATGATGTAACTTCATTAGATCATTTTTGCCTACTTGAATATAAGATATTGTGATGAAAATATAGTGTCGCCATTGACTTTTTGCCTTTAACACTTTGGTTTTTTTTTTATATTATTTTACATCTAAATGGGATATATCTATTTGGTATGCTAAGAGCTATGTAGTAGATTTGACTGGCAGTACAAAAACGTGGATTTAAACAAACATATAAATTGTTAGACATTTGCAGCTTAAAAATAAACAAAATAATCTACATTATTGACCTGTACAAACAATTGAAAAAAAAGTCTAAAATGATTTTTTGAAATTGGAAGACAGGAATTGATATTAAATGAAACCCAACGAAATGAGACGATTTGTTTTACATACAAATATAAAGATTTGTTATGATTGCCAATGTGACAATTATACAACATTAAACAACGAACTAGGATCAAGACAACTACAGGTCAGCGTAGGTCTTTCAATAATAAGTAAAACAACTACAGGTCAGCGTAGGTCTTTCCATAATTAGTAAAACAACTACAGGTCAACGTAGGTCTTTCATTAATAAGTAAAACAACTACAGGTCACCATGGGTCTTTCAATGATAAGCAAAAACATACGATACAGTAAGGTATGCTATAAAAGATTTCACAATAGAACTATCTACCTGATATGAATAAATATCATTAAACATCAAACAACTGACCGCAACCAGTGATCACTACTGGACTACAGGATTCTGCCGTTGAAATGGGACATTGAGAATATAGCCATTGTAATCCTGTTTGAGAGCGCTTTATTTATTTACTTTAGTTAGATTAGCATATCAGGTGCTGCTTGAAGTTATATCATACAATAGGATATGAAGTTTATATTACAGTTAATTGTGAGTCACTAAACTAACTCTTAAGCTAGTATTTTAAAATTATGTAGTGCTTTCTCAATTTCATAGCCAAAACACAACACAATGCAATATCCTGGTGTATAAATATCAATTGTATGAAAGAGTTCTTTGTGTATTATTGGCCAAATGTGTGAATTCTAAGGGTATCAAGTTTCACCGCCATATTGTCGGATAGTATCACGTTTCACCGCTATAATATGGGATAGTATCAAGTTTTACCGCCAAATTATGGAAGATTATCAAATTTTACCACCATATTAGTGGACAGTAAGAAGTTTTTCTACCATATAATGGGATAGTATCAAATGTCACCGCCATATTATGGGAAAGTATCAAGCTGTATCGCCATATTATGCGATAGTATCAAGTTTTACCACCATATCATGGTATTATGGGATAGTATCAATTACCTTTAACTTCATATATTCCAAATTAACGTTCTTATGTTAAAAATTGTTATGTACTCTAGGGCCATATACAGTTCTTTAAGGGCCCCTCCATAAAAAAAAAAGACACAATGCTTTGGCAATATGTATAAGAAGGCTGAACAATTTATCAAATGTCAATGCTATCTGATAAACATTGAATAAGCTATCCCTATCAAACATTTTGGAATAAGAAAATATAAGTAAGAAACAAATGAAGGATTTATGTTTGAATTAAATGAGACGTAATTTTTTGTAGGTGAACTAAATGGGTCGTAAATGAAATCCTATATTTTCTATGATAAACGGAATGAGCCAGATAAATAATCACTAGACTGTTAAAGTTCAACATTGTATATTAACTTTTTCTGTTAACCTATATATATGATTAAAAAAATCTGTGAAACACAACTTTACCAACTAAGAATATTCATATGAAAAGAAGTTTAAACGTCGTGAAAATATTCCTTACTTTTGATAACATAGGCAAACAGTAACAACGAAATGTCAAGCTAACTTTCTTGTATTCTTGTCTTTCATTTTTGCTTATGTACTTTGTCTATATGCCATTTTGTTTTTTCTTTGTTAAAATAGTTATTTGTTTTTATAGTGATTTAGGTTATAACACAATGTTGACTACTGTACCCCAATTTTTTACATTTTTACCTATTATGTCTGTTTGTTTTGCTCACACATTGTTGTCAATATAATGGAATTCTATATGACTGTAATACAAGTGAGAGGTTTAGCTAGATATAAAAGCAGGTTTAATCCACCATTTTCTACATACGAAAATGCCTGTACCAAGTCAGGAATATGACAGTTGTTTTCAATTCGTTTTATGTGTTTGAGCTTTTGAATTTGCCATTTGATAAGGGACTTTCCGTTTCGAATTTTCCTTGGTGTTCGTTATTTGTGTTATTTTACTTTTTTCAAAACTGGAAAACATATCGACTGCTGATCAACTTTTTTCACCATCTCACAACTTAAAATTTCGCATTAATTTATTGTATGAATGGAACAAAAATCTGCACAATGATGGTTTTTAATAGGGCCCATTTAATTTTTACACTTTTTATCTCACCTGGCCCAAAAGGACTAAGTGAGCTTTTCTCATCACTTGGCGTCCGTCGTCCGTCGTTGTTCGTCGTCGTCGTCCGTTAACTTTTACAAAAATCTTCTCCTCTGAAACTACTGGGCCAAATAAAATCAAACTTGGCCTAAATCATCCCTAGGTTATCTAGTTTAAAAAATATATCCAATGACCCCGCCCATCAACCAATATGGCCGCCATAGATAAAAAAAAGAACATGGAGATAAAATGCAGTTTTTGTCTTATATCTCTGAAACTAAAGCATTAAGAGCAAATCTGACATGGAATTAACAATGTTCATCAGGTCAAGATCTATCTGCCCTGAAATTTTCAGACGCATCAGACAACCCGTTGTTGGGTTGCTGCCCCTGAATTGGTAATTTTAAGCACACTTTGCAGTTTTTTGTTATTATCTTGAAAATTATATAGATAGAGATAAACTGTAAACAGCAAAAATGTTCAGCAAAGTACGCTCAACAAATAAGTCAAATGATCAAAATTGTCAATTGACCCATTCAGGAGTTATTGCCCTTTAAAGTCAATTTTTCACAATTTATTTTCGTAAATTTTTGTAATCTTTTACAAAAATCTTCTCGAATTAATCTACTGGGCGAAATAGAATTAGACTAAGCCACAATTTTCAATAGGGTATCTTGATTGAAAAATGTATCCGATGACCCTTACATCCAACCAACATGGCCGCCATGGCTAAAAATAGAACATAGGGGTTTACTATATAAGTCCAAGGGAAAATTGTAAAAGAACAATTTCAAATGGTAACAACTTGAAAACTAATCTAAATAATGATAAGGGGTCTTCAGTAACCATTGTAAGACTACAATGGTATGGCCTGCTTTAAATTTAACTACTGGGCCGAATTAAACCAAACTTGGCCTCAATCATTATAAGGGTATCTAATACTATTTATTATGATTTTAACCTTATTTTACATAATTTCCAAAACCACAGTAGATACAGGTGAGCGACACAGGCTCTTGAGAGCCTCTAGTTTTTAAACTCTGGATTTAAGATCTTGACATATTCTATGGACATCTGTATATTTATGAAGACTGCATATTGATGTCTTTAAGGAACTTTTGTCGTTTTGCTTCAGTCTCATTGATGTACTATGTGTCATGCAACGTGTTTTATTCATATCAATTTATGACACATTTTGTTCCGTATGGACGGAAGACTTTTTGTAAATGGGTGTTTATTTAGCACTGTTCTTACATTTTGTCAATGTAGACCTCAAAAATATCGTTTAAATCAAATCAGTAAAATAAACTATATGAATTGATTCGCAGTTTAAACTTGTCTGTCAAATTGGCGAAAACCTTATTTAAAAAAAACCTCAAATAACCCAATAAGATTGACGTGTATACATTGCGGTAAGAACCTTGATACCTTTTAGAGATTAGTAAAGTGATGATGATGATAACAGTAAACTCTATGCAAATATTAGTGTTATCATTATCCATTGTACAAATGAGGAGTGCAAAAGTTTGAATAAAGTTACAATTTTATGAATAAGTATGTTTTTGTGTTGTTTTTGTATTTTGTTATTCATTATGACTTGTTTAGAAAATGGAATCAAAGTCTGCAATAGTATAAAAGCAATGAACTTCACAATCCTTAACACAGTTTTATCTCATTCTAAGCTGAAAGATGGATTGACATAATAAGTCCAACCTGAGATCATCCCCGGTTTTTGGTGGGGTTCGTGTTGCTCAATCTTTGGGTTTCTATGTTGTATTTTGTAAAATGTTGTTTGTTTGTTTGTTTTTTTTTTTTTTTTTTTTAGAAATTCACGAATTGGTTGATCTATACGATATGTCTGTGTCTAAACTAACTAACGACATTTTTACCACGTCTTAGATTGTGGTTTACCATCTACGTCGTCTGTCTGCTAAGTACCGAACGTGACCTATTCCAGAATATGACTGTTTTGCCAAGTGTGAATTCGCATTGCTTTACGACGTGTCTCGGTATTTATACATCCAACATTCATGTTTTTAGTTATGATGTTTCTTTTGTAAGTTCCGTTCGATATTGTGTTATGTCTTATCTTTTATGGTTTGATTTCTGTATTTTCGGTACATTTCACATAAGTCTTATTTGTCAGTATAGTCGAGTTAATTTCCATTTACCATGGATATTCTGTTAGTTCAAATAATTATGACGTCGTCACAGCATTAATTTGAAATGGCCTTTCAAGACCGCCATAGACATGATAATTATTTGGACTAGTATTATGAAAATAATTGTGAATTTTTGGATCTCGTTCAACATAATTGTATGAATTTCAAGATTATATATACGTCACAAAAATACGTCACTGTTTGAGGTGTCCTGTGCTGTCGTTAATGGGAGATGTCCGTTGTTTTTTTTGCGGTTTACATGTTGCAATGTACTATTATATTATTTATTTATGCATTTCTCTGTGCTGAGTGTTCTTGCGTTTGTTTGGTCTGTATTCCTGTCACGTAGTGTTGTCATTATAGAGATAAATTTTAACATTGTCATACAAGTGGGAGGTTTGGCTAGCCATAAAATCAGGTTTAACCCATCATTTTTTCTTAAAATGTCTTTTACCAAGTCAGGAATATGGCAGTTGTTATCAAATAGTCCGTTTCTATGTATGTTGGCGTTTGTTTTTGTTGAAGTTCAGTGTTTCTGTTGTTCCGTTGTTTTCCTCTTGTACTTGATGTTTTCCCTCGGTTTTAGTTTGTAACCAAGATTTGTTTTCTCTTAATCGATTTATGACTTTTGAACAGCGGCATACTACCGTTGCCTTTATTTAGCCATGGCGTTGTCAGTTTATTTTCGACTTATGAATTTGAATGTCCCTTTGGTATTTTTCGCTTCTCTTTTGCCTTAAGATAAAATGACCAACGTAAATACAGTTACTAGTTTGAGGTTGGGACAAGTCATAACAGCACTATAAATTCAAATAAAGCGTTCTCTTTTTTTTAATCTTTTTTACAAGACGTTGGTCATTTTGTTAGATTAAGGCCACAGTATCACCGATGCTCAAATCGATTTAAAAGAGATAAATCAAAATAACAATTAAAAACCGAGGGAATCACATAAACTCCAAAATGGAGCTAGACCGGGTGTATCGACAGGATGGGTGTCTCCTTGTATGTATGCATAATTCTACTTGCGAATCCACTCAGTCAAAATATCACTATCGGGTATAGGAAACAATCGGTAAAACTGCAGATTGCATACGACTACACTAGTAGATAAACTAATCATAGATACCAGGATTAAAATGTTGTACGCCAAACGGGCGTTTCGTCTTCAAAAGACTCATCAGTGACGCTGGAATAAAAAAAAATAAAAAGACCATATACAGTACGTAGTTGAAGTGCATTGAGGACCCAAAATTGCAAAATATACTAAAAATCTAAGTCTGCGAAAACATTTCGCTAGTGAGTTGAAATGTTGGGAGTTGGTAGACGTGTTTTTCACATATTGTCGATATTCAAATAGAACACACTGCTGACCTTATTCATATAATCTACTCCTCAGCGAAAAAAGACAAATAATGGACTCTTCTGTGAAAAAAGACACAAGACTATCAACATCAAACAACACATGGTCCACATTGCCTGACTTCGTATAAGCAGATAATGAAGTGCTTTGTTTTTCACTTACCAAGACCATTTGTGTTTGCAGTTAAATCAAAACACACAATACAAAATTGAACAGACAGCTACCTATTGTGTTCAAAGGCTGTCGATTTTCAAAGTTCTGTAAAGGTTCAGATTTTGAAGGAATGATTCCATTGGGAAAGGTGATATTTTGAATGGGAGTAGCAATTTTCTGCAACGGCATTTAAGCTATATCTGAAAACATGTTTTTTTTTATAAATTATAGAGGTCATTGCACTCTCTTAACATGGGATAACATGATTTTTGTCCCATTTCCGATCGGACGTTTCTGTGTATTCATACATTTCACAAAGTCAAACTAATGCCTACCTCAACAGGGGTCTTAAAACAGGTAAATGGCAGATGATGAGTAGATAACAACCTTGCTATAACCCAGTCAAATTTCCGGAAATACCACACGTGGCTCTAACACTTATAGTATTACAAGGACTTTCACAATTATTCTTCAAACAGGGCCACATATATTTCAAAACCCATAACTGCCAGAACTGCCAGAAAGAAGACACAAAATAAAAGAATCATAATTTGTTCTGCCAGAATTTCAGATGACAACCGCGATGCAATTGTGAAAAGAAATTCTTATTTTTAAGCAAAACTTCTTTAAAGGGTCCTGATGGTGAAATGTAACTGTAAGTATAGTTTTTCCTGTCTGATGGAGGGATATACTTTTTTGATTGATGATATATTTGTTACATATGGAGGACGTGATTTTCAACAAACAATCGGTATTTCTATGGTAACCAACTGTGCTCCTCTTCTTTTCGACTTTATCCTTTATTCATCAGAAGCTGTCTCCATACAAGGTCTCTGTAGGAATAATGAAAATAAGCTGGCACTGTCCTTTAACTTCACGTTCCGCTATATAGATGATGTCCTTTTCCTTTACGACAAAAGAGATTACTTTGGTTTCTTAATTGTGAAATTTACATTTCTATGTATCAACATTCCAGCAGCGCCTGCATATGGAGTAAATATCTCTCATTTGATACGCTATATACCAGAGCATGTTTTCTTATCACGATTTCTTTGATAGATGCTTGTTGCTTACAAGGAAGCTATTAAACGCGGAGTTCCAACTGGTGAAGTTGAAATCATCCCTTCGAAAATTATACGGACGCTCTTACGAGTTAGTTGACCGTTATGGAATATCTATTTTATGTTCCAATTGTCGTAACCACAATTCCATCCTCCTTTCCTCAAATGTGACTTACCAATGTTAACTTATTACTAAACTATTATGAACTTACATGAGCAACATGACGGGTGCCAAATGTGTTGAGCAGGATCTGTTTACCCTTTCCGAGCATCTTATAACCCGCCCCTCCCCCGTTCGTGTTGCGAAGTCTTTAGCTTGTCATGTTGTGTTTTGTGTACTGTTGTTTGTTTTTTCGTCAATTTCCTTTTTTTTTTTTAGAGATGTACCAGTTCATATTCCACATTACTATTATTGTTAGAAGCATATCTATGCAGTCCCTGTTGTAAATACCTAACCTACGTCATTTTTGAAATTTTAGAATTGTACAAGCTTTGTTGTGTTCGGTTTTAATTGGATAAATTTAAAGATTGTTAGAGTTAAATCAGAATAAATTTATATGATTTATTTTACATCATAATCATACTGATATCTGTTATCCGGAATATTTATAGATAATTACATTTAATGTTTGCTTTTTTTAATATTGGTGTTGTTTTGTACACTTTTTAGGTGTTTATATATATCATTACTCTGAATATCAGCACAACAATGTTAAATCTGCAAATTGCGGGAACAAATTTTTGTTCTTCCCGCGCCGGGATTCGAACTCATGCTATTGCGATATCGTGACAACATCGCATGCACTGTGTTTAGCGCTCTAGGCCACTCGGCTACCTAGACTGAACTAAAAATTCAGATTTCGGTGGCCTAGTGTTACCTTTCCTCGTCAGTAGAATCTAGAGTTGTGACACAGTACATATTAACATGAAGATGGAATTGATTGCCGATTAGCTAAATTATCTGTCGCAAAGGATCGTAAGATGCAGTCACAGAAATAATTACATCTAAACAAGTGACAAATCTACGACAGATCCATCCATTGGATCACCAGTGAAGGTTATACACGGCTGAAAACACATATTATATTCATAATTACTCTAAATATCAGCAAAACAATGTTAAATCTGCAAATTTGCGGAAGAAAATTTATGTTCTTCTCTCGCAGGGATTTGAACTCATGCTATTGGGATATCGTGACAACACCGCCTGCACTGTGTCCAGCGCTCTAGACCTCTCTATATATAAATAAACGTCTAAACATGTGACAACTTTATGACAGACATCCTGCATCGGATAACTCGTGGTTTTACAGAGCTAACACCATAATAATATAATTCGTCTCAAATTTAGCCCAACAATGTTCGATCATCAAATATTTGTTCTTCCGTAAGCGGGATTCGAACCCTTGCTTCTGTGACATCGTGGCAACACCACCTGCATCGTGTTAAACGCCCTAGACCACTCGACCACCTAGGCTACATAAAATATAGCTTTCGGTGGTCGATGTAATACCTTTCCTCGTCGGCTTTATCTAGGATTGTTACACAGTACACGATGTATAGTGGCAAGTAGATGGTATACTTATATAATATATATATACTTGTCAATTGTAAAACACAGAACATAAATGTATATAAGATACTTTTGTAAATCAAATCCTCTGGTTTTATTAGCAGTTAACATCACAGGGAGGAATTGTAGCGTCATTGTTGTAGCGCTGATGGATTTTAGAAAGGGAAGAACAATTTTGCTTTGCAACAGGGCACCAGTGGACACCTCATAGTTAGAGTTATCAAACGAAAACTTAGAAGTTTTACATTA